AAAGGAAAAAAAAAGAAAGAAAGAAAGAAAGAAAGAGGAAGAGGATAATAGAAATCAGAGGAAACTAAAAAGAAAAAAAAAAACAATTGAAGGAAAGAATAATTATTGTTTAATTCCTAATAAATATTTCTCATTCAGGAAAAAAAATGATTTTCTTATTTAATAAAATACTATTTTGCTAACAAAACAAGAGAGAAAAACAAAAAAAAACAATTTCATGGTAAACAGTTTTGATGTCAGCTTAAAAATCAAAAATAGTCCTGCCAATGAATCTACTGAAAATCACACACATTCATGCAAACATTCATGTGCAGAAAATGCTATTTAACTACTCAGTAGACAGAATTGAAATATATATATATATATATATATATATATATATATATATATATATATATATATATATATATATATATATATATATATATATATATATATATATATATAAAACACATTCTCACTCATCTGAAAATCATCTTCTATCTTTATGTTAAAAGTTGCTCAAAGCCAAACAAAATAGAATGGTAAATCTGGCAGTTTAACATCTACCCCCCCACCACCAAAAAACAGAACAAAAAAGTTGCATCTATTATTTCCCCGTTTATTCTATTGTTATTATTTTCATTTTCTTTTTCATGATTTTACAGAAACTCTAACGTCTTTTGTTTCTGTATGTCAGTTATTTTCAGGTAGAAAATACGATTACTATTTTTTTTTTCTCATTTCCTTTCATTTCCTCAATTTTGAAGCCATGAATTTCTGAATTTCGTCTTAGAAATCAAAATTACTGACATGACTGCTCACAGCCACTAAGGTGCTACACTTGTGTTCATTCAGAATAGAATTGAACATGACATTAAAAAGTTAGTTCTACATACTTATCTTGTCAAAGTTTCCGATGAATTCTGACACGGATTTTTAAAGAATTTGCAATTTTCATGATTTCTTTTCTTTCTTTTTTTTTTACTTTAAATGAATGTAACTGATGTCTATATAATCATTGTTTTAGATGATGAATATTTTATTTGGAAATATTAAAATTGGAAATGCATTCAAAAATATCAAATCGAATACAAAATTTATAGATGGTAAATTTTTAATATTTTCGAAAAAGGTAATTATTGACAGTGACAATAAAGCAAGAAAAATGAGCAAAACATGATAAGTGTGGAGGGTTTAATTTTCATGAAGACTCGTATAAACTGCCACAAACTTATTGAAAAGTGAATAACAAAGAATGGACGAGGTTTTGCAAAATATACCTTTTACAACAAAATTCTAAATTTCATCCTTGATAAAGTCTTTTTGTTCTTCAGATATACACATACGTATATTTAGGCAAGCATATCTTAATTCAAATATGTTTCATTGAATAATATAGACATATTGTGTCTACTTATTTCTATATGGATCCTTTCCAGTTGTTTAATCAGTTTCTTGATGTTAAGATGAAATTCATCAAGGAAGGCGCCATACTTTTTTTTAACTTAAGTACTTTCAACCTTTTCTAAGGTCATCTTCATGGGTAAATTAAAAATTTCAAAAACACGTAAATGCACTCTGTTATAGTTATTTTAGAATTTTAAATTTATACGTTAACCAACATTCATTTAAAATAGCCCAGTCAGATCACTGGTGACAACAATCTGCTTCCTGATCAACTGCCTGCAACCTTCATATAATTTCAAACAAAATCAGTGGAGCAGCTGCCAGATAGTTACTGAGATAATCCCAAACACACTGTGACCACATTTAACTAATAAGGAGTCTCGTAGTAAAAGTGAATTTGCTGCAGGCTATGCTTTGTGTTAGAGTTATCCTAGATAACTGTGGTCACAGTGTTTTAGGGGTTAACAGATAAGGAGTCTTGCAGCAAATACACCTTTGCTGCAGACTATGCTTTGAGGCAGATACATACCCGTGTGGAATTAGATTCACCAAGATTAGAAGAGTCATTTCTTAATTCTTTTCCTTTGTACTTCATTAACTTTATTAATTCTATTTGGTTATTGTTCTGCTTGATGCTATTGATTTTTGTCTATTTTGGGCTTCCATAATATCTTGTGATATCAATACAGATAAAATTGCAAATGAAATTCAATAAGTGATATCAGTAAACATACACTTTATTTAGAACTGGTAAATTATGAAAAACATTCAATTCTTTTAAAATTCCTTCATATCTGTCAAATTCACCTAGCCATTTCTCATTATCTTGATTCCTCTTTTATTGTTCTTGCTCCTTAATAATGGTTTTCTTTTTCTTTCAGACCTTGTGTCTTTGTGGATTTATTGCCTTCCTTATGGCAAAATCCTTAAAAAATAATAATAATAATAATAATCTGATTTTTATATTTTATTCACAGTTAAAAGTGACAGCGTATAACAGATGCTGCAACGAGTTACTCTAACAGTTTCATATCTCACAGTTTTTGCTTGTGGAACTCACTTCTGGCTTTTTGCTTTACAGCCAAATTTGATTTTCAAAGTTTTATGTGGAATGTCAATTGTTATCTGCTGTCTTCTTGATTCCTCTTCTTTTATTGTTCTCACTACTTAACACTTTCGCTGCTAACTACGGAGATCTTCATTTTTCTTATCTTGCTCCAGCTGGCTAAGTACAGAAATCTACGTTTTTTGCATACCGCTGGTATGAGTGTCCCGTTGTGCCATCTATCGTAAAATCACAAAGAACAATGCTTCAAAAGATATCATGTGTATACCCATTACTAATCTGGTAAGTCATTCCCAGGTATATCCATGAAAATGGAATGCTGTAAAACACACTGGTGCCAGTTTTCTGTGTAATAAAATATGTAGGTTGAAATTTGGCATTTTCTTTAAAAATGGCTGGCCGGATGGGGGCAGCACTGAGCAAATGAGTAGCAGTGAAAGTGTTAATAATGTTTTTGTTTTTCTTATTCTTTCATATTCAGCAAAACCTTGTGCCTAAATGGCTTTATTGCCTTGCTTGGGTTGAAATGATATATGCTTAATGTGACAGAACATACAAAATTGATATTATGTTGAATCCTTATCACCATTTTCACATCTTTAAAAGACTTTTCATGTTACTATTATACTTCCCAATTTGATAAACACCATGAAACATCCAGTCATTGTCAGTATAAAAGAAATAACTTTACAGCAAAAGTTACAAAATAAATTTGCAAATACATTTTATATATACATATATAGTGCCCCATATCAGGCATAAAGCATATGAAAAGTTGATATTGATGTCACCATCCAGAAGTAACAGTTTGTTTCATGCTAAGCACAATTGTCAGGCCATCTATCCACTTTTTATATATATATATATATATATATATATATATATATATATATATATATATATATATATATATAATGATATGTTTAATACGTATGGAATTTCCAGGAGTATATAGATCCAGGGAGAGCTCTATGTCAAAAAACAGCAAAATTATTGTTAGTTAAAGAATATCAAACACGTAAGATCCTATAGGTAATAATTTTTATTTTATGAGAGATCTAAAAAAAACAGCTTTCAATCTTAAGGACCTAGGTGACTTGTTTGTAGATCTTGAGAGCTGCTTTTTTAAGAGCTCTTATAAAATAAAAATTATTACTTATGGGATTTTAAAAGTTTGATATTCTTCAATTAATAATATAAATAAATAAATATATATACATATATATAAGATTTATAAACAAGTATACCTGAAACATAATAAATTGCTACATGAATGAAATCATGTTTCAGCACTGTATAGACACTGCTATTAACCTACCTTACACTTGGTCTTATATATATATATATATATATATATATATATATATATATATATATATATATATATATATATATATATATATTTAGTTGGATAGATGTGAGTTTGTGACCCTAGGTTTCACGCTTTAGCGATCATCAGACAAACTTTTTACAGCAAAAGTTTGTCTGACGATCGCTAAAGCATGAAAACCAATGGAATAAATTATGACCATGGAATATTTGTGTTTAAGCCTTTTTTATTTTATATATATATATATATATATATATATATATATATATATATATATTCATACATGTTTCATTAAATAATATAGACTAGTGTTGTCTATTTATTTTATGTAAATTCTTTTCATAACGTCAGATAAGCTTAATAACATTATCATTAAACGAAGAAGAAAATCACAATATTGATCCATATTTTTTAATCCAATCTAAGCTTTCAGCTTACATAAGCCATTATCAAAGATGTCAATTACTGTACAACATATTAAGCAATATACAAACAAGACAGTGATGATAGTCTGTGATTGTTTACATGGATGATTTCCAAGCAACGATAAATATGTACATATAAGACGCTAGAACTGAAAATACAATTTTTTAATATATTTTTTGTTTATACATTATTTCATTAGATACAATTTATTTAAGAAAATATACTGTTTTTTAAAAAAGCAGTATTAATTACATTTATTAGCCTGAATGTTTGATAAAATTTTGTAAAAAAATATGTGCTTGTCTGGTAGGAATTGAACCTCTAACCCTAATGGGGACTATCATTTAGTCTGATGTGCTGTTTTGTGAGCAAATATGATTATTCAGGAAAGATTGTGGAACATTTGTTGCTTATAAACAGTAATTCAGAATTTCCTAACCAGACACTTCTTTGTGGCTGAATGGTTAACAGCAGATCAAATGATGGTTTTATTGGAGTTACAGTTCAATCCCTGTCAGAGAAGCACATATTTTCTACAAAATTTCTTTAACATTCAGGTTGGTAAATGTAATTAATACTTTTTTTTTAAAAACTTAAATAAATCGTATCCAATAAAGTAACCAATAAAGTATCCAATAAAGTAACATATAAACAGAATATATATATATATATATATATATATATATATATATATATATATATAGTGTGTGTATGTATGCATGCATATTTCTATGAGCTCATAGAAATATGCATATATATATATATAGTGTGTGTATGTATGCATGCATA